ACGATGAGGGGAGAGGGAGGGCGACGTGGTGACGTCATCACGCAAAGGGCTTTGCGTGGTGACGTCACCACGCAGGACGCCATCGCCTCTCGCCGCCTCACCGATCGGACTTTGCACGATGAGGGGAGAGGGAGGGCGACGTGGTGACGTCATCACGCAAAGCCCTTTGCGTGATGACGTCACCACGCGAGGGCTTTGCGTGGTGACGTCACCACGCAGGACGCCATCGCCTCGCGCAGCCTCACCGATCGGACTTTGCACGATGAGGGGAGAGGGAGGGCGACGTGGTGACGTCATCACGCAAAGGGCTTTGCGTGGTGACGTCACCACGTCGTCTCTCTGTGCCTCACGGATCGGACTTTGCACGATCAGTGAGGAGGGAGGGAGGACGACGTGGTGACGTCATCACGCAAAGCCCTTGCGTGGTGACGTCACCACGCAGGACGCCATCGCCTCGCGCCGCCTCACCGATCGGACTTTGCACGATGAGGGGAGAGGGAGGGCGACGTGGTGACGTCACCACGCAAAGGGCTTTGCGTGGTGACGTCACCACGCAGGACGCCATCGCCTCTCGCAGCCTCACCGATCGGACTTTGCACGATGAGGGGAGAGGGAGGACGACGTGGTGACGTCACCACGCAAAGCCCTTGCGTGGTGACGTCACCACGCAGGACGCCATCGCCTCTCGCAGCCTCACCGATCGGACTTTGCACGATGAGGGGAGAGGGAGGGCGACGTGGTGACGTCACCACGCAAAAGCCCTTGCGTGGTGACGTCATCACGTCGTCTCTCTGCCTCTCTGCTTCACGGTGCGTGGTGACGTCACCACGCAAGGGCTTTGCGTGATGACGTCACCACGCAAGGGCTTTGCGTGGTGACGTCACCACGCCATCGCCTCTCGCAGCCTCACGGATCGGACTTTGCACGATCAGTGAGGAGTAGGGAGGGAGGACAACGTGGTGACGTCATCACGCAAAGGGCTTTGCGTGGTGACGTCACCACGTCGTCTCTCTGTGCCTCACGGATCGGACTTTGCACGATGAGGAGAGAGGGAGGGCGACGTGGTGACGTCACCACGCAAAGGGCTTTGCGTGGTGACGTCACCACGCAGGACGCCATCGCCTCTCGCAGCCTCACCGATCGGACTTTGCACGATGAGGGGAGAGGGAGGGCGACGTGGTGACGTCACCACGCAAAGCCCTTTGCGTGATGACGTCACCACGCGAGGGCTTTGCGTGGTGACGTCACCACGCAGGACGCCATCGCCTCTCGCAGCCTCACCGATCGGACTTTGCACGATGAGGGGAGAGGGAGGGCGACGTGGTGACGTCACCACGTCGTCTCTCTGTGCCTCACGGATCGGACTTTGCACGATCAGTGAGGAGTAGGGAGGGAGGACGACGTGGTGACGTCATCACGCAAAGCCCTTGCGTGGTGACGTCACCACGCAGGACGCCATCGCCTCTCGCCGCCTCACCGATCGGACTTTGCACGATGAGGGGAGAGGGAGGGCGACGTGGTGACGTCACCACGCAAAGGGCTTTGCGTGGTGACGTCACCACGCAGGACGCCATCGCCTCTCGCAGCCTCACCGATCGGACTTTGCACGATGAGGGGAGAGGGAGGACGACGTGGTGACGTCATCACGCAAAGCCCTTGCGTGGTGACGTCACCACGCAGGACGCCATCGCCTCGCGCAGCCTCACCGATCGGACTTTGCACGATGAGGGGAGAGGGAGGACGACGTGGTGACGTCACCACGCAAAGGGCTTTGCGTGGTGACGTCACCACGTCGTCTCTCTGTGCCTCACGGATCGGACTTTGCACGATCAGTGAGGAGGGAGGGAGGACGACGTGGTGACGTCATCACGCAAAGCCCTTGCGTGGTGACGTCACCACGCAGGACGCCATCGCCTCGCGCCGCCTCACCGATCGGACTTTGCACGATGAGGGGAGAGGGAGGGCGACGTGGTGACGTCACCACGCAAAGGGCTTTGCGTGGTGACGTCACCACGTCGTCTCTCTGTGCCTCACGGATCGGACTTTGCACGATCAGTGAGGAGTAGGGAGGGAGGACGACGTGGTGACGTCATCACGCAAAGCCCTTGCGTGGTGACGTCACCACGCAGGACGCCATCGCCTCTCGCCGCCTCACCGATCGGACTTTGCACGATGAGGGGAGAGGGAGGGCGACGTGGTGACGTCACCACGCAAAGGGCTTTGCGTGGTGACGTCACCACGCAGGACGCCATCGCCTCGCGCAGCCTCACCGATCGGACTTTGCACGATGAGGGGAGAAAGAGGGAGACGTTGTGACGTCATCACGCAAGAGCTTTGCGTGGTGACGTCACCACGTCGTCTCTCTGCCTCTCTGCTTCATGGTGCGTGGTGACGTCACCACGCAAGGGCTTTGCGTGATGACGTCACCACGCAAGGGCTTTGCGTGGTGACGTCACCACGCCATCGCCTCTCGCAGCCTCACGGATCGGACTTTGCACGATCAGTGAGGGAGGACGACGTGGTGACGTCATCACGCAAGGGCCTTGCGTGATGACGTCATCACGTCGTCTCTCTCTGCCTCACGGTCACGGATCGGACTTTGCACGATCAGTGAGGGAGAGGGAGGGAGGGAGGACGACGTGGTGACGTCATCACGCAAAGCCCTTGCGTGGTGACGTCATCACGCAAAGGGCATTGCGTGGTGACGTCATCACGTCGTCTCTCTCCGCCACACGGATCGGACTTTGCACGATCAGTGAGGAGTAGGGAGGGAGGACGACGTGGTGACGTCACCACGCAAAGCCCTTGCGTGGTGACGTCATCACGTCGTCTCTCTCACGCCGCCTCACGGATCGGATTTTGCACGATGAGGGGAGAGGGAGGGAGGACGACGTGGTGACGTCACCACGCAGGGGCTTTGCGTGGTGACGTCACCACGCAAGGGCTTTGCGTTGTGACGTCACCACGCAAGGGCATCGCGTGGTGACGTCACCACGCCATCCCCCCTCTTTCTTAGATCGGACTTTGCACGATGAGGGGAGAGGGAGGGAGGACGACGTGGTGACGTCACCACGCAAAGCCCTTGCGTGGTGACGTCACCACGCAAAGCCCTTGCGTGATGACGTCACCACGTCGTCTCTCTCGCCGCCTCACGGATCGGACTTTGCACGATCAGTGAGGAGTAGGGAGAGGGAGGGAGGACGACGTGGTAACGTCACCACGCAAAGCCCTTGCGTGATGACGTCATCACGTCGTCTCTCTGCCTCACGGATCGGACTTTGCACGATCAGTGAGGAGTTGGGAGGGAGGGAGGACGACGTGGTGACGTCATCACGCAAAGCCCTTGCGTGATGACGTCACCACGCTAGGGCTTTGCGTGATGACGTTACCACGTCGTCTCTCTCGCCGCCTCACGGATCGGACTTTGCACGATCAGTGAGGGAGAGGGAGGACGACGTGGTGACGTCACCACGCAAAGCCCCTGCGTGGTGACGTCACCACGCTAGGGCTTTGCGTGATGACGTCACCACGTCGTCTCTCTCGCCGCCTCACGGATCGGACTTTGCACGATCAGTGAGGGAGAAAGAGGGCGACGTGGTGACGTCATCACGCAAGGGCTTTGCGTGGTGACGTCACCACGTCGTCTCTCTGCCTATCTGCTTCACGGTGCGTGGTGACGTCACCACGCAAGGGCTTTGCGTGGTGACGTCACCACGCAAGGGCTTCGCGTGGTGACGTCACCACGTCGTACCCCTCTCTTTCTTGGATTGGACGCTGTGGGGAGGAGGGGGGCGGCGTGGTGACGTCACCACGCGAGGACTTTGCGTGGTGACGTCATCACGTCGTCTCTCTGCCTCTCGGATCGGACTTTGCACGCTGTGTGAGGGAGAGGGAGGGAGGGCGGCGTGGTGACATCACCACGCAAAGGCTTTGCGTGGTGACGTCACCACGTCGTCTCTCTGCCTCTCTGCCTCACGGATCGTGATGACGTCACCACGCGAGGACTTTGCGTGGTGACGTCACCACGCCGTCTCTCTTTCTCACGGATCGGACTTTGCACGCTGTGTGAGGGAGAGGGAGGGAGGGCGACGTGGTGACGTCACCACGCAAAGCCCTAGCGTGGTGACGTCACCACGTCTCTCTCTCTCTGCCTCACGGATCGGACTTTGCACGCTGTGTGGGGAGAGGGAGGGAGGACGACGTGGTGACGTCACCACGCAAAGCCCTCGCGTGGTGACGTCACCACGTCGTCACTGCCTCACGGATCGTGGTGACGTCACCACGCGAGGACTTTGCGTGGTGACGTCACCACGTCGTCTCTCTGCCTCACGAATCAGACTTTGCACGCTGTGGGGAGAGGGAGGGGGGACGGCGTGGTGACGTCACCACGCAAAGCCCTCGCGTGGTGACGTCACCACGCCGTCCCCCCCTCCCTCTCGGATCTGACTTTGCACGCTGTGGGGAGAGGGAGGGGGGACGGCGTGGTGACGTCACCACGCGAGGACTTTGCGTGGTGACGTCACCACGTCGTCTCTCTGCCTCATGGATCAGACTTTGCACGCTGTGGGGAGAGGGAGGGGGGACGGCGTGGTGACGTCACCACGCGAGGGCTTTGCGTGGTGACGTCACCACGCAACGCAGCTCGCAAAGCCCTCGCGTGGTGACGTCACCACGCCGTCCCCCCTCCCTCACGTATCGGACTTTGCACGTGACGGGGAGAGGGAGGAGGGGACGGCGTGGTGACGTCACCACGCAAAGCCCTTGCGTGGTGACGTCACTACGTCGTCCCCCCTCCCTCTCGGATCGGACTTTGCACGCTGTGGGGAGAGGGAGGGAGGACGGCGTGGTGACGTCACCACTACTCCCCCCCCCCCCACTTCCCCCCCACTACCCCCTCACCCCGACGTTACCATGGCAACGTCGGGGTGACGTGGTGACGTCACCACTACCCCCCCCCTACTTCCCCCCACCCCCTCACCCCGACGTTGCCATGGCAACAACCGTCAGGTCGAGTTGTTAACTCCACGAGGTCGATCCGGGTCCTGTAGCTCTCTCCACTGCTGGATGATGACGCCCAATTCCGTGTCCCGTGTGGCTCTCATCTCTCCTTTCATCTCTCCTCTCATCTCTCCTCTCATCTCTCTAACGAATTAAACTAAACAGGAGATTTTTTTATTATTTTTGTTTAATTTACCTCAGCGGTGATACACACACGCAACAAAAAAAAGTAGTTTTTTTCGACCAATAATTTTACAATTCTATAGAAGTTCAAACTTTTTTCTTTAAACAAACAAACTAAAATAATGCCGACATGTGCGAGACGCCGGGCGGATTAGCGACGAGGGGAGAAGAACTCCAACTCTCCGAAGCGTTCGTTCTCCTACAGAGGCCTGCCACCGAGGATGAAGCCTACGCTCTTGCCTACTTCGCCTGCCGCTCGCTGGCGAGGGGAAGCCGGCCAACGCCGCCGCCGGCCGGGGGGTCACCCCCGGTCTCCTCGGAGTCGGGCAGCAGCGGCGGCGGCGATGATGTCCGCTTCGTTCTTCAAGCCCGGGGCGGGCTCCGTGTGGAGTGCGGAGGTGAGGGTCACGGTGGCGAATGGCGGTTGTTGTTGTTGTTCTGCATTGGCAGAGTAGGGGGCACAGGTGATGCATCAGGCAGTCATCTCGGTCAGTCGACACGTGGCACCTGCTGGGTCTGCCCCGTGACCACCTCCTCATGCACCTAGCCTGGCACAGCAGTCAACCCATGGCACCTGCTGGGTCTGCCCCGTGACCTCCTCCTCATGCACCTAGCCTGGCACAGCAGTCGACCCGTGGCACCTGCTGGGTCTGCCCCGTGACCTCCTCCTCATGCACCTAGCCTGGCACAGCAGTACAACCCATGGCACCTGCTGGGTCTGCCCCGTGACCTCCTCCTGCCAGCGGGCGTTCGACACTTCACGTGGTAGCCTCAAGGTGCACTTGGCCTGGCACAAGCGTCGTGGTGACGTCACCGCCACTTAATGGCGAATGGCGGTTGTTGTTGTTGTTCTGCATTGGCAGAGTAGGGGGCACAGGTGGTGCATCAGGCAGTCATCTCGGTCATCTCGGTCAGTCGACACGTGGCACCTGCTGGGTCTGCCCCGTGACCTCCTCCTCATGCACCTAGCCTGGCACAGCAGTCAACCCACGGCACCTGCTGGGTCTGCCCCGTGACCTCCTCCTCATGCACCTAGCCTGGCACAGCAGTCGACCCGTGGCACCTGCTGGGTCTGCCCCGTGACCTCCTCCTCCTGCACCTAGCCTGGCACAGCAGTACAACCCATGGCACCTGCTGGGTCTGCCCCGTGACCTCCTCCTGCCAGCGGGCGTTCGACACTTCACGTGGTAGCCTCAAGGTGCACTTGGCCTGGCACAAGTGTCGTGGTGACGTCACCGCCACTTAGTGGGGAATGGCGGTTGTTGTTGTTGTGTGTGTTGACATTCATTTGATGGGTTGCATCGTCAGTAACTCACTCCAGCCGGGTCGTCTACCCCGTTATCTCCAGCACCAGTCTCCCCACCAACTCCCTTATCGGTGCCTCTACCTTGTTGCAGAGAAATTCAGACACTACGCTACACTATGCACTACGCTACTATACGCTATATTATGCACTACACTACTATACACTACACTATACACTACTATACACTATACACTACACTATACACTACTTTACACTACACTATACACTACTATACACTACACTACTATACACTACACTATACACTACTTTACGCTACACTATGCACTACACTGCTTTACGCTACACTATGCACTACACTGCTTTACACTACACTACTATACACTACACACTACACTACACACTACACTATACGCTACACTTTACACTACACTGCTTTACGCTACATTATGCACTACACTGTTATACACTATACACTACTATACACTACACTACTATACACTACACTATACACTACTTTACACTACACTACTCTACACTACACTATACACTACTTTACACTACACTACTATACACTACACTATACACTACACTATACACTACTTTACGCTACACTATGCACTACACTGCTATACGCTACACTATGCACTACACTGCTTTACACTATACTACTATACACTACACTACACACTACACTATATGCTACACTTTACACTACACTGCTTTATGCTACACTATACACTACACTATACACTACACTATGCACTACACTATGCACGGCACTATACACTGCTATACACTATACACTACACTATACGCTATACACTGCACTACACTACACTATACACTATTGTACACTACACTATACACTACACTGTACATTATACACTACACTACTATACACTACACTATACACTACACTATACACTACTTTACGCTACACTATGCACCACACTGCTTTACGCTACACTATACACTACTCTATGCACTACACTGCTTTACACTACACTACTATACGCTACACTACTATACGCTACGCTAGTATTCACTACACTATACACTACACTATACACTACACTATACACTACACTATACACTACACTATACACTACACTATACACTACTTTACACTACACTATGCACTACACTACTTTAAGCTACACTATGTACTAGACTACTATATGCTACACTATACACTAAACTGCACACTACACTGCTATACACTACACTATACACTACACAATACACTATACACTACACTATTACACAATACACTACACTACTATACACTACTATACACTACATGATACACGACACTGTACAATACCTGTCAACCCCTTATCAGTGCCTACCTTATGTGTGCTTTTACGTATGTTGAATTGATATCTTTCGTTAGGGAGTGGTGGTGTAGCGGTTAGCACCGTTCTATTAACCTGGTGACTCGACTTTATTTTCCTGCTCTGACATAGCCGTGTCAACCCATACGGTTTACCCCGTCACTCGCCCACTCACCCATTCACTCATCCACTCACCAATTCACTCGCCCACTCACCCATTCACTCACCCACTCACCCATTCACTCGCCCACTCACCAATGCACTCGCCCACTCACCCATTCACTCACCCACTCACCCATTCACTCGCCCACTCACCAATGCACTCGCCCACTCACCCATTCACTCGCTCACTCACCCACTTACCCATTCACTCGCCCACTCACCCATTCACTCGCCCACTCACCCATTCACTCACCCACTCACCAATTCACTCGCCCACTCACCAATGCACTCGCCCACTCACCCATTCATTCGCTCACTCATCCATTCGCTCACTCACCCATTCACTCGCCCACTCACTGATTCACTCGCCCACTCACCTAGTCAGTTGCCCACTCACCCATTCACTCACCCACTCACCCATTCACTCACTCACTCACCAATGCACTCGCCCACTCACCCATTCACTCGCCCACTCACCAATGCACTCGCCCACTCACCCATTCACTCGCTCACTCACCCACTCACCCATTCACTCGCCCACTCACTGATTCACTCGCCCACTCACCCATTCACTCACCCACTCACCAATTCACTCGCCCACTCACCAATGCACTCGCCCACTCACCCATTCACTCGCTCACTCATCCATTCGCTCACTCACCCATTCACTCGCCCACTCACTGATTCACTCGCCCACTCACCTAGTCACTTGCCCACTCACCCATTCACTCACCCACTCACCCATTCACTCACTCACTCACCAATGCACTCGCCCACTCACCCATTCACTCGCCCACTCACCAATGCACTCGCCCACTCACCCATTCACTCGCTCACTCACCCACTCACCCATTCACTCGCCCACTCACTGATTCACTCGCCCACTCACCAATTCACTCGCTCACTCACCCACTCACCAATTCACTCGCCCACTCACCAATGCACTCGCCCACTCACCCACTCACCCATTCACTCACCCACTCACCCATTCACTCACCCACTCACCAATTCACTCGCCCACTCACCCATTCACTCGCCCACTCACCAATGCACTCGCCCACTCACCCACTCACCCATTCACTCACCAATTCACTCGCCCACTCACCAATTCACTCGCCCACTCACCAATTCACTCGCCCACTCACCAATTCACTCGCCCACTCACCAATTCACTCGCCCACTCACCAATTCACTCGCCCACTCACCAATTCACTCGCCCACTCACCAATTCACTCGCCCACTCACCGATTCACTCACCCACTCACCCATTCACTCGCCCACTCGCCCATTCACTTGCTCCCTCACCTATTCACTCGCCCACTCACCCATTCACTCGCCCACTCACCAATTCACTCGCCCACTCACCTAGTCACTTGCCCACTCACCCATTCACTCACCCACTCACCCATTCACTAGCCCACTCACCCATTCACTCGCCCACTCACCAATGCACTCGCCCACTCACCCACTCACCCATTCACTCGCCCACTCACCAATTCACTCGCCCACTCACCCATTCACTCGCTCACTCACCCATTCACTCGCTCACTCACCCATTCACTCACCCACTCACCCATTCACTCGCCCACTCACCAATTCACTCGCCCACTCACCCATTCACTCGCTCACTCACCAATTCACTCGCCCACTCACCCATTCACTCGCCCACTCACCAATGCACTCGCTCACTCACCCATTCACTCGCTCACTCACCCATTCACTTGCCCACTCACCCATTCACTCGCCCACTCACCCATTCACTCGCCCACTCACCCATTCACTCGCCCACTCACCCATTCACTCGCCCACTCACCCATTCACTCACCCACTCACCCATTCACTAGCCCACTCACCCATTCACTCGCCCACTCACCAATTCACTCGCCCACTCACCCATTCACTCGCCCACTCACCCATTCACTCGCCCACTCACCTAGTCACTTGCCCACTCACCCATTCACTCACCCACTCACCCATTCACTCGCCCACTCACCCATTCACTCGCCCACTCACCCATTCACTCGCCCACTCACCAATGCACTCGCTCACTCACCCATTCACTCGCCCACTCACCCATTCACTTGCCCACTCACCCATTCACTCGCCCACTCACCAATTCACTAGCCCACTCACCCATTCACTCGCCCACTCACCAATGCACTCGCTCACTCACCCATTCACTCGCCCACTCACCCATTCACTCGCCCACTCACCGATTCACTCGCCCACTCACCCATTCACTCGCCCACTCACCCATTCACTCGCCCACCCATTCACCCAGTCACTCGCCCACTCACCCATTCACTCGCCCACTCACCCATTCACTCGCCCACTCACCTATTCAGTTGTTCACTCAGCCATTCACTCGCAAACTCACCCACCCAGCCACGAACTCACCCATCGCAGCGTCCATTAGCTACGTACGGAAATGTTTTTTTTATTATAAATTGAAATAATGTTTGATGCTTATCATCATCATCGTCGGCAGCCGTGGTCTATCCACTGCTAGATGAAGGCCTCCTTCTGACATCGTGTTGGTTCATAAGGATTGACCATACTTCACCACGCTGGTCAATGCAGGTTGGTGAAGGGAGATCAGGGGGAGTCCCGGGACCTGTTCTGATATCAGTCGGCG